GGGTCTCTATCAGTTGAAACTAAATGGCACTTAAAAACAGCAACAACAAAAGAGTCTTGGTGTGGTGCTGTGTGATAATGCAAAGTGAGTTTGAACTGTAAGGTTGGTGGTTCAAATCCATTAACTACTCCTCATAAAACCTATACAGCATCACCATGAGTTGAACATATCAAAAAGAACATATCAGTATCCATCTTAAATACAAACCTGATATGATAAGATAATATCCATATGCCTACAAGAAAGACCAATTAATACTATTATGCAAATTTTTGCACAACCACTGAAGTAAGTGATGATGAAATTGAAGAATTCTATCAAATTCTTTATTCTGAAATTGATCAAACATGCAATCAAGGTGTGTTGATAATTACTGATGATTGGAGTGCAAAGTATAAAAACAAAGAGGAGGGATTGGTAGTTGAAAAATATGGCCTTGGTGACAAAAATGATGCTAAAGATCACATGATAGAATTTTGCAAGACCAATGATTTATTCACTGCAACTATCATTTTTAAATAACATAGATGATGTTATTTTATGGCCCTAACCAGTTGGAAGACACAGAAATCAAATTGACTACATATGTGGAAAAACTCCATCTCATCAGCCAAAACAAGGCAAGGGGCAGACTGTGAAACAGACCATCAATTGTTCACATTCAATTTCAGGCTGAAACTGAAGAAAATTAAAACAAGTCCATGAAAGGCAAACCATGATCTTAAAGACAACTCTCCTGAATTTAGAGATCATCTGAAGAACAGATTTGATACATTAAACACTAAAGACCAAAGACTAGAAGAGTTGCAGGATGACATCAAGAACATGATACAGGAAGAAAGCAAAAGATCATTAAGAAGACAAGAAACCAAAAAAGAAGTCAGAATACTGACACTTGCTTTCCAGCATATAGATACTAACACAAATGGAAGAAGTGAGAAGGTACAAGAACTGAACAAAAAAATTCAAAGTATAGCTCAAGAAGACAACGTCAAATGTTACAATGAAATGTGCAAAGTCCTGGAGTTGGAAAACCAAAAGAGAAATGCTCAGCATATCTCAAGCTGAGGGAACTGAAGAAAAAATTCAAGCCACAACTTGCAGTGTTGAAGGATTCTATGGGCAAAATATTGAATGATGCAGAAAGCATGAAAAGAAGATGGAAAGAATACATGGAGTTATTGTATGAAAAAGAAATGGGTGATGTTCAACCATTTCAAGAGGTAGCCTATGATCAAGTGCCAATGATCCTGAAGAAAGAAGTACAAGGTACATCGAAGACATTGGCAAAGAACAAGGCATCCAGAATAGATGGAATATAAATTGAAATCTTTCAACAAATTGATGCGGCCCTAGAGGGACTCACTTATCTATGCCAATAAATTTGGAAGACAACTACCTGGCCAACTGACTAAAAGAGGTCTGTATCTGTGCCCATTCCAAAGAGAGGTGACCTACCTAAATGTGGAAATCATTGGACAATATTATTGATATCCCATTATAGAGATAATATAAAAATGGATGCAATCGTACATTAACAGAGAACTTCAAGAGGTTCAAGACAGATTCATAAGAGGACCTGGAATGAAGGATATTACTGTTGAAGTCAGATAGGTCTTATCTAAAAGCAGAGAATACCAGAAAGATATTTACCTGTGCTTTATTGACTACACAAAAAA